AAGTCTCTTTTGAACTTTCATAACATTATATTACTCAACTGTAACTTCCTATAGTACAAAAAAATAGGGATTTTGCCTAATTTTGGACGCTGCTTTTAATTATGACAGTGTTTTTTCTTCACAATATGACATTAAAATAAGAAATATTCTAATTGTAGTACTTTAAAAATGTTTCTGCTTTTCTTCAGATGATAGGTACTGTTGACCCTTGAACAATGTTGGGGCTCGGGGGTGCCGACCCTCTGTGGAGTAAGAGTAACTCCAAAAAATTGTCCAATGTATTTATTGAAAAATATTTGCGTATAAGTTGACCCATGCAGTTCAAACTGTGTCGTTCAAGGGTCAACTGTATAATATTTCAAATTGCTTTCTATGTAGGACTTGTTCATCTTCTCTTTTGAATTAATAACACTAAGAGCAAAAGACATCTTCATTAATGAAGCCTAGATGTTTTGATTATTTTTATTCTATCGGGGAACCCCCTGGTTACTGCCTAATCAGATTGTCCTAATAACTATGTCTGCTGCATGTTCACAAGAACTGTGCTTCTTTTGTGTCTTCCTTGGTTTTTGGAAGTAGTGTTGGGCAAAGAAATGAGTCGGTATAATATTTTATGAGATAAAATTTTGGTTGAAGCCGATGATGGTGAGAAAAGGATATGCAAGATATGCAAGAAATACTAACATGATCCGCCTAAGTTCTAGGCTGGTTCTTTAAAGTGTGTCAGCCCCACGGGCTTCACATCAGATAAGTTGTCTCCTTCTGGTCCTGCCGCTTCTGAAGGTCTTGGTTCTCTTGCTAAATTGCTATTGCTCTTGTCCTGGCACTTACTTCTCTTTTGTCATCATCCTGTGAATTCTTTCGTTTCATGGTGTTTTATCACCTGTTTCCTGAATCCCAGTTTTCCTTTCTTTTTTTTTTTATTTTATTATTGTGGTGGCTAAATATATACATAAAACATAAAATGTGTCATTTAAATCATTTTAAGGGTATAATTCAGTGGCATTAATTACATTGACAGTGTTGTGCAACCGTCACTACTATCTATTTCCAAATCTTTTTCATCACCCCAAACTAAAACTGCACCCATTAATTGCTAACTCCCTGTTCCTCCTCCCCACAGACCCTGGTTAACTTTAATCTACTTTGTATTTTTATGAATTTGCATATCGTAGATATTTCGTATCAGGGGAATCATACAATGTGTGTCCTTTTGTATCTGGCCTTTTTCACTTAGCATAATGTTTTCAAGGTTCATCCATGTTGTAGCATGTATCTGAAGTCCATTCTTTTTATGGCTGAATAATATTCCGTTTATGTATGTGTATCATATTTTGTTTGTTCATTCATCTATTGATACATTGTTTCCACCTTTTCGCTATTGTAGATAATGCTGTGAACACTGGTGTACAAGTATACATTTGAGTTCCTGCTTTCAGTCTTGGGGGTATATAACTAGGGGGCTTTCTGGGTCGTATGGTAAATTCTGTATTTAACTCTGGGTGAAACTGCCCAGCTGTTTTCCACAGTGGCTGCACCTCTTCACATTCCCAGCAGCAACATACGTTAGTTCCCCTTATATGCAGTTTTACTTTCCACAGTTTCAGTTACCTGCGGTCAAGGGTGGTCCAAAAATATTAAATGGAAAATTCCAGAAATAAACAATTCATAAGTTTTAAATTGCATGCCATTCTGAGTAGTGTGATGAAGTCTCACACCATCCCACTCTGTCCTGCCCTGAACATAAATGATTCCTTTGTCCAGTGGATCCACACTGTCTACACCACCTGCCCAATAGTCATCTAGTCTGGGTGATCAGATCGACTGTCACTGCATCACAGGGCTTGTGTTCAAGGAAGCTTTATTTTACTTCATAATGGCCCTAAAGCACAGCAGTAGTAATGCTGGCAATTTAGATGCCAAAGAGAAGTCATCAATTTCTTCCTTTAAGTGAAAAGGTGAAAGTTCTGGACTTAAGGGAAGACCAAAAAAAAAAAAAAAGGATTATATGCTGAGGTTGCTAAGATCTACAATAAGAACTCATCACCTCCTATCCATGAAATTGTGAAGAAGGAAAAAGAAATTTGTGCTGGTTTTGCTGTTGCACCTCAAACTATAAAAGTTATGGCCACGGTGCATGGTAAGGGCTTAATTAAGATGGAAAAGGCATTAAATTTGTGGATGGAGGACATGAACAGAAGTGTGTTCTGACTGTTGGCTGTTGGGTTCAGTACTATCTGAGGTTTCAGGCATCCACTGCGGGTCTTGAAACATATCCCCTCAGATAAGGGGGACTACTGTACTTGTTTCCTTTATTTTCTCTATTGTTTGTGTGCTTTCTATTTTATTTTGTTTCTGTTCTTTAGGATTTTCCTCCTTTCATTTTCTTTGGATTTAATTTGCTTTTCTTATTCAATTTCTTAAGTTGGAAGCTTAGGTCATTGATTTGAGAACTTTAATTTTTTTCCTGCTCTAAAATTGTATGTTGTAAATTTCTTTTTAAGCACTGCATAAACTGTGTCCCATAGATTTTGATATGTGTTTTTATTCAAATAAATATATTTGAGTGTTTTCCAGATATCTTTCTTTTATTAATTTCTACTTCATTTCCAGAGTATTAAGATAAGATATTCTGTATGATTTTAGTTCTTTTAAATTTGTTGATGTTTGTTTTATGAACCAGAGTATGATCAATTTTGGTGAAATTTTCCTTGTGCATTTGAGAAGAATGTGTCCTGTCAATGTCAATTAAGTCTAGTTGGTTGATAGTGTTGTTCAGGTTTTCTATATTATTGATTTTTTTGTCTGCTTATTTTATTGATTACTGAGAAAGGAGTTTGGAAGTCTCCTAATTATGGATTTATCTACTTTCCTTTTAGTTTTGTTTTTGCTTCGTGTATTCTGTTGTTTGGTGAATATACATTTAGAATTATTGCTAATTGATTCTTTGTCACTATGTAGCACCTCTTTATCTCAGGTAATATTATTTGTCTTGGAGTCTGTTTTGTCTAAGTTTAATGTAGCCACTCCTGCTTTCTTTTGATTACTGTTTGCATGAACTATTTTTTCCAACTTTTAACTTTTGATGTATTTATGTCTTTTTTTTTTTATAAATAAAGCAGTTTCATTAAAGCACAAATAGTTGGGCTTTCCTTTTTTCATCCAGTTTTATCATATCTCTTTTGAGGTTTTTAAACCATTTTCATTTGATGTAACTACTGATAAAGTTGAATTTAAATTTACTGTCTTCCTAGTTGTTTTCTTTTTTTTTTTTTTTTTTTTTTTTTTTTTTTTTTTTTTT